ATGAGGACCTGGATTGTTGTTGGGGGCAATAGGCTGACTCTGTAAACCGCTTAGAGAGGGCTGAAAGCCCTATGAAGCGGTATATAAGTCTAACTTGCTATTGGATGCTTTTTCCTCCCATCGGCAAATCTCTTCAGTCTGTCCTGCCTGCTGCGGTTGTATTTCTAGTCTTCATTCCAATTGTGGAGCAAAAGATCCTTAAGCTAGGAAAGGCACTTGAGGCTAAAAAGCAAGACCTCAGGTACAATTTATATTTGCAATGTTGTCAAGAGATAAAAAAGTAAAAAAAAGGCCCACTGCCATCCTGAGAACCAGCAAAAACAGCTGCGGGGGGTGGGGTGGGGTGGCACACTATTCCAGATGCTTCTACAGGTTGTCGCCTCTGATTCCAGAGTAGGACATGAGCCAAATTCACATCCATCCCTCCTCTGGCCCAGGAACCTCTTTTGCTCCCAAAAGCAAGATTCACCCCTCCCTCCTCCCACACGCAAGAGTTTGTGGACTCTGCAAGTGGAGTAGTAGTATTGGGGGGGTCCTTAAGACTAGTGGGGCCATCACCAATCCAGCTGTCCCGCCTGGACATTGTGTTTTCGGCTGTTCTGGCTGTAGAACTGGGAGAACCAGCGCCGGTGCCTCAGGATGGCGGCATCTTCCTTCACCAGGAGCGGATTGGGAAGGAACTTCTTGTTATTCCAGATCATCAGGTCCCGCTCAAACTGGTTCAGGAGGAATAGCGGAAGACAAATGATCAAGGAAGCAGCAGCAGAAGAGCAAAACGCTTGGCTTAAGTACATGAAACAATATAAGAACGTCCCAAAAAATGCAAGACACCCTTTGTGTCTTTGTTCAGCCCTCGGGCAAGGAGGGTGACTTCAGCGAGTCGCCACAGAGGCTGCAAATTTGCAGTTGCTTTTTAAAGCCTATTTTATTTACTGAGTCAAGCAGTCTAGCCAGGTGATCTGCAGCCACTTGCCCCTCCCGTGTCCTGCAAACGATTCGATCTGCATTTCTGCTCTAAAATGCAGCCCTAGAAACATGGGTGTGGTCTCTGCCAAAGGGAGGTTGGAAGCCCAAGAATTTGGGACGCAGTTACCTAGACCCTTGTCAGGCATCCCCCTCCCCAAATAGATGCACACCCCCCATCCCTCACTCAACAGCCCCAGGGGGCCAGGAGGTCGCATGGACCGGGTTTTCCCCCCAGGATCACCACCTGCATCTCTTCTCACCTGGATCTGCTCGGCCCACATTATCAGCTTGGCAAAGAGGGAGAGTGTCTTGCGTGGGGAGTAGATCTGGTGGACCACGTGTTGCAGAAGTGGCTCAAGAGGCGTGACGGACTGAACGATCAGCCCCTTGCCAAAGATGGCATGGCTCAGGGCCATCATAACTATCCCAGGACCGACCTGAACAGAGGACACAACCATCCCATTAAGAGTCCGTTTTTCCCTTCAAACTGACAGGGATTAAGTAAACTGCCACCCCACAAACCAGAAGTGACTCTCATGTACAGCTTGCCTTCCTCGCTTTCTTTGGGAAGAGGCATCCCATTGATCGATGCTTAAGTCCTGGGCTTGGGACAAACGCCGCCCTCTCCCCGGGTGGAGAGGATCTCCGTACCTGTGTGGCCTTAACATGCAGATCGAGGCAGGCAATGTGTTTGCCAAAGAGCAGCACGTGGTGCGTCAGAAGCAGGACTGAGCAGTGTCTGTTGGGCTCCGGCTCGGGCTGCCACTCCGCCTGGGGAGCAAGCACTGCACTGAGAGTAGAAATGCCCCTGCTGCTTTGGCACCAAAAACCCCGCCAGCCCTGCTTGGAAACAGCCCAAATGGGCATCCCCCCCCCCTCCTTTCCAGCATTACTCAATGCTTGGAGCCGGAGGAAACACACTTTTGAGCCAGAAAGAGACCAAGATAAATGCCCCCCCTCCCAATAGGTGTTGCAAGCCCTCCGGGAGGGTGAAGAGCTTCCTCATTCCTGCTACCTCTGTTGACAACTGAAGGCAATGCAGAATCCCTTCCAGTGGGACAGGGAAGGGTCTCCGTGCCTGCCCTGCTTCGCTTAGTAACGGAGTAACCTTTTGCACGTGTTTAATGTTGGCCTTCCGACATGACGTAGGCAGCTCCACTCAATCCTCTCTTCTTGCCTTCACCTTTAAGTGCAGCCTTTGGGACTTCCTCAGAGGGAACCGGACCACCAGGATTTGGAACCCGTTGCCGGCTGCCTTACCTCCCAGGTGTGCTTGAAAAATGCCCAGCGGTGATTGCCTGTGAAGCGCAGGTCACTTCCAATCATGATTGAGGGTTTATGGAGAAAGATAAGGTGGCCTACATCGGCAGCATTCTCTGGAACTTCCTGCCCGGGAGGGGGGAAAAAAACATTCTCCTGGGCCTTTCTTGGACAAAAGCAAAACAGAAGCACGCTTTTTCCCAAGTACCAAGAGAGGCACTCCAAATCAACGGGTGTTTCTAGCTGAGAACCAAGTGACAAGGCCCATTGGGCACCCAGCTGTTCTTTCCAGATAGTTGCTATGTAACGCCCTCAAAGGCAGAAGTCCAGCTAACTTTCAAACCCCACAACTGGCCCCCTCTGCATTCCACCCCATCCTGAATCCCCCCGATACCCGGGTTCAGATTGAAAAAGGCACCACCGCTGGCCTTCCCTCGGCGGAGCAAACTACCTCGATGTGCGTGCTGACAAAGTGCTCCGTGGCAGCCCGGAAGGTCCAGTCAGGGGATGATGCCCCTTCCTGCTCGGTGACTTGCCATGCTGGGCTCATGCCATCGCAGTGGTACCACACCATGATCATGTCGTTCACTTCACATGATGGCCAAACTTTGGTAGTTGCAAATTCAGGCACTGGGAGACACGGAGCACGAGAAGGTAAATAGGCAGCAGGGGCCGAGGGGCGGCGGGGGGGGGGGGGGGGGGGCTGTTGATGGACTTGCCATCCCAGGAGTGTCAGATTTTCCATTATCAGTGGGAATACAAACTAACGCGAACCCCAGAGTTCATTTATTTGACCCAGGGACTACACTGACAAGAGGACCAAAACGGTTTAGCAATTTATGAATGCTTTAAAAATAATAAAATTGGCCCAGGAATTTGGAGGTCTGTCACAAGTTACATTTTTAGGAAGGAATTTAGGTGTGTGTGTGTGATCAATCCTGGTTCCCCTGTTGCTAGGCAGGGCTCCCCTGAGGCCTGAGACAACTTTTCCCCTGGAGAGTCAAAATGAGAAGCTGCAGCACCACCACCACCCCACTCCCCAGCAGACAAAGGCCCTCCGTGATGCTCAGGGAAACTTGGTTGCAACATCACGGCCTCTTAAGTCAGTCACCTCCAGTCGGGCCTAAACTCCCTCGGCCCAAACAGAGAAGGCCCCCCCCCTCACCTTTGTTGGCATATGGGATCTTGACGCAGCGCCCGTCCTTTCCGGAAAAAATCCAGCCATGGAAGGGACACTCGATGCAGTTGTCCACCACACGGCCACCGATCGCAAGGTTGGCGCCAAGGTGTGGGCAGTAAGCGTCCAGGACATGTGGTTCCCCATCCAAACCTCGAAACACAGCAAAGTGTTCTCCTGGGCATGCGAAGAGAACAATCGAAGTAAGCTTTCCTTTCTGTGCTCAGAATAGTGCAGCATCTATTCCACAAGGCAAGCCAGGATCGCGCCCGTTTTGCTAACCTGAGGTGGGCCTGCTCATCCTTTACAAAATTAACAAGAGGTTCCTGGGTACCATAGTCCATGGGCGGGGGGAGAGGGGGGACGTTTCCTCTGAGAAGCCCCCAGGCAAACTGGAAAGGCATTTGCTGCTGGTGCATGGAGGACAGCCCCAGATAGTGGCTCTCCGGAGTCTCAAGGGGGACTGGAGGAAGAGAGGAGCCATCTCTCCCCATGACCCAGGGCAGCCAGTTCCAACTGCAGAGTGGGGAACTGAGTCTCACAAGACCAGAAATGGACTTTTCACACTTGTTTAAGGACATGAACGGGCCTCCTGACTCCTTCGTGGAGATTAAAAAAAAAAAAAAAAANTGTCTGTCTGCATCTGTCCGTCCGTCCGTCCATCCATCCATCCATCCATCCATCCATCCATCCATCCATCCATCCATCCATCCATCTTTCACCTCTTTCTCTCATGTCTGCCTACCTGCCTGCCTAGCTTTCTTTCTCCCCCCTCTCTCTCCATCGATCCATCGATCCATCAATCGATCGATTGATCCATCCATCGATCCATTGATCCATCCTACTCCTTGAGCAGGGGTTGGACTAGAAGACCTTCAAGGTCCCTTCCAGCTCTATTCTGACACATATTATCTTATCTATCCTGCATTTCTTTGGAGTTGAGCTTCCTTGCTTCATTCTCTCTCTCTCTCTCTCCCTCCCTCCTTCCCTCCCTCCCTCCCTCCCTCCACCTCCCCTCCCCTGCTCTCTCTTCTGGATTGTTTCTGTCACCTTTCCACTTTTCAGCCTTGAAATCAAGAACAAGACATGTAGATTACTTTGAGAATTCATTGTTCTGGTCATCTCCCGCCCTCCTTGGTATCCACAGCCAAACAAACAGCAGAAGAGTGGAGGGAAAGAACCTCAAAGACAGCTTTTATTTTTAGCGGAGGGCCTGCACACCAGGAGAAAGAGAGTCTTCATCCTTCTTGTATTTTATGATGGGTTTAGTGTCAGCTTACTGAACTTGAGAGATAAGTTAAGCCTTCTGGCACTGAAGCTGGTACTTGATGGAGGGGAAATAAAAATGCTTAGGGTAGGAGATCTGTACTTTTCAAAGCCTCAACCAGAGAGATGAGAGAAAGAAATAGTTTTTGTAATTGCATGAAGGGACCAAGGGATGAAAACAGATGCCACTTCAAACATCTGCAGCTCAATAAATTGCTTATCCTGAAACACAGAATGCATTGTAGGAGAACGGTAGAACAACACGATTTCTGGGCTATTGAATAACCTCTGAAAAAATCCCCTTCCTGATTCTATTGCACGACAGATAAAATACGACAGGCTCCATTCAGAGCAGGAATTACTTTAGGAAGAGAAACAGCTACGACGGGGATGGGTAAGCGATGGCCCATGGACCATGTTCATCCCCTTAGCCAGAAGGGTTTATGAATACCATGTTGGCCAACAGTATCTCCTTGAGGTAGGCAGGGTGTCAACATTTGCCTGGATGGCAGATGTAGCATCTTGACCATTCATGTGATGTCAATATATGCATAAAAGGAGGGGAATGTGTGTCACAATACTCCCTTTATACAGATGTTGACCAGGCCATCAAAGAAGAGGGTGGCTTGACATCATCAAAGCTGACACAAGCCACAGAATAGAAAAAAAACTCAAAGAAATAGTGAGTGAAAGATCGGAAGATGTGGAGAGAACTGGCTCCTAGAATTGCCAAGAGTCGGACATGACTGAACGGACAACTTTCTCCTCCTCTTCCTCCTCCTCCTCTCTCTCCTCCTCCTTCTCCTCCCCCTCTTCCTCCTCCTCTTCCTCCTCCTCCCTGTCTTCCCTCTCATCTCTCTCTTCATCTTCCTCCTCTTCCCCTCCTCTTCCTCCTCTTCTTCCCCCTCTCCCTCCCCCTCCTTCTCTTCCTCCTCTTCCCACTCTTCTTCTTCTCCCTCCTCCTCCTCCCTCTTTTCCTCCTTTTCTGAGGGAACTTAAAAGTATGTATATTCTTATTGTCCGATAGAAAGACAGACATAAGACAGTTCTGCAAGAAGTCTCCTTCTCCCCATCCTCCTTCCTCTTCCTCTTCTTCTTCCTCCTCCTCTCTCTCATCCTCCTCCTCCTCTGAGGGAACTTAAAAATTTGTATATTCTTATTGTCCGATAGAAAGACAGACGTAAGAAAGTTCTGCAAGAAGTCTCCATCTCCCCTTCCCCCCTCCTCTTCCTCTTCTTCTTCCTCCTCCTCCCTCTCCTCCTCCCCTCCCCCCTCCTCTTCCTCCAGATACTATTGCCCTTAGCCTAGCATTAGCAACTTCCAGGCATTCAACCTTATGGTGCTGAAATTTGGCAGCAAAAATTCAGGTTTGTTTTTTTCAGGTATCCATCCAGGAACCTGTACGCTGATATTGCTGTAGGACTGAAAGCTTAGTATTTCGCATACAGATGCATGATTTAAAAACAAAACTTGGAAGATTCAGCGGTGGGTACATGTTATACACAGGAGCTTTGCACGAAGGTATCATCTCATCTTACTTCTGCAGGATGAAGAGCCAGGAGAAGACTGATCTGGTTCTCTAACTAAAATGACAGCTCTACAGCACTTGCCCAAATATTATAACTGGAAGCCTCATATAAAATGCTGGTTACTCAAACAGAATTAATAAAGCACAAAAATGTTCTTTAAATTTGCTCCAGAGGGACATTAAGGATGGTAGACAAGTGTCTTCCAAGTTTTAACAGCGATAATTACATGATTGTAAAGAAAGAAATTATATTTGGACTGCTCACCTTCCTTGATTATATGCAGATTAAGCTTCCATTAAGAGCCAACTCCAATCAATCTAAAGTGAGATTAGAGAGGATATTTGGAGGTGCTGACTTTAATTAAAGCGACACATTTTGCAACCCATCACTAAGTCAACTGACCAGTTCTGGCAGCACCCACAGAATGATTAGGGATGAGCTGAGATCTTGTGAAAACTGATTAAATACAGGAGCAAATAAGTGTTGCGTTGAATTTAATGCATAAATCATCACAATTAGAATATGCTCTTTTACAAACAGCGTGTACGAAAGCTGTGTGCCTCTCAGCCATAAAAATCTTTCCAGATTGGGCTGCTCTATTATGGGATGGGGAGTTTTAGAACAACCTTTAAAGGTAAAGGTTCCCCTCGCACATATGTGCTAGTTGTTCCTGCCTCTAGGGGGTGGTGCTTATTTCTGTTTCAAAGCCAAAGAGCCAGAGCTGTCCAAAGACGTCTCCGTGGTCATGTGGCCGGCATGACTAAACACAGATGTCAGGCCTGCATTTATATTCCTTTTAGAATTTTGGCCTGCCGCACTTTCTCTTATTTCATTATGCTGCTTCTTTAAGTATAGTCAATGGGAGGGGGGATTAGAAGGAGTAGGATTTTGGAATGTATTGTTTTTCATTCTTTGCTAGAAGTCAAGGTCATCCTTTGTCTCTGCACTTTCACACCTGACCGGAAGAAGCTGGGCATGGACGCCAGCGTGGAAGGAGAAGATTGGACCATGTGATGGATTGTGGGTGTGGGGACAAGATCATGAACTTTTAACCGGGTGGGATTCTGATGTAACTTCCAGAGTTGGGATCCCTACAGCTATGTGCCAACATGCC